CTTCAGTAATTTGAAATGTCTAACCAAGACATTTTTATAATGTTTCAGGGTTACAGAGAGATCAGCTGGGAAATAATCCTTACTTTAAAATTCAAGTTATTGTGACAAGATGAACAAAACCTATTTTGACAGTAATTCTAATCTATTTATTATATAACTGTTCCTCTTTTAAAAGATGTATTCACCTGTATAGTTTCCTTTGTCTCTCCTTATTATGTTCCAAAATGTGAACTGAAACTTGCCCTGCAGAATAAAAAGTAACAATAATGAAGAATTGAATATGAACTTGGATAATTTATCAATTATTTAGAGAGAGGAAGGCAAAGAGTTCTTTAAATAAAATGTACTAATACAGATCATGAGTTTATATAATTCTGTTTGATGTAGGCAACATCAGTGGAGCCTGGTGATTACCAGGGTTTTGGCCATTTTATATATAAGGTAATCTCTGCCACCTGAAGACGTGGCAGCACACAAATATGACTGGCATTTGTAATGAACATGCTTGAATGGATCCTTGGTTATTGTAATTAGCCTATGTATGAAATTATGGCATCAGAAACCCTGCAGCAGCTGCTGTTAGGAGGGCTTGGCAAGTGTGTTACAAGCCAGTCTTTCTTACAGATCAAACGGACCTATTTTCAATGAACAGAAACAGAGAGATAGATGAATGCAGATTAAAAATGGACATCTTTGGGGTGTACAGATCCAGATATCCTGCGTAGAACACTGCAACAAATACCAAGGCAACATTTTTTCCACATTAACTCTGTGGCCATGATTCACAATTGTGCTGGGCTACAGCATCCCCGTTAACCCCACAGATTTAATAAAAAATGGTATAGAAAACTTCATTTAGTGTTGTTTCATTGATGACTTACTGTGGCCTCACAAGCATGACACTCTTTAACAGAGTCAGCATACTTCCTACTCTACCATAAGCACCCTGAAGAGACCTAACCTGCAATCACTTCTGCTAATACTTTGTCACATGAAGATTTTTGCACTGGAACTGGGATTTCCAGTTCTACTATTTCAGTTCACGTTTTGCACAAGTGGAAGTGAAAAAGGGCAGCGCTCCATGAACCATCTCAGCAGATGAATGCATCTGAGGTGTAACTCATCAGGGTAAACCAGACACTTGAAAATACTGAAGTGACTCAAAGGTTTAAAAAATATATATGTATTACGAGAGCCACAAAAAAGGTTACAGACAGAGCTCCACAAAGCCTGCACGGATACATTCCAACAATTCAAGGAGGCAGAACAGGTGAAATACAGACCATAAAAACGGTTCGACATTAACCTTCCAGACTGTCCGAGACAGCAACCTTGACCCCATCTTTCCCACACACAAAAAAATATTGAATATATATATCTCTCTATATCTCTAGTCTGGACCACACACCTGGTCCAAAGAAAACCACATTGCAATTTCCACATTAGGCTTATAGGAGAATAGGCATCATCTGAGGAACGTCCATTATAACACCCATGAGGTGATTATCGTAGGCCGAGTTGACATAACATTATGCTTGGTTAGCGATTTTAGAACAGCAACACAACACAGTCCATCTGCTGCACATGGCTACTCACACATAGCTCTGTGCAACCCTTAGAGCTGATTTTAACCAAACTAAGTAATTACACTTGTTTTGCTTAATTTAAAAAGAAAATGCAAATGTAAGATATTAGGGCAGTTCCTGCTATCACCTTTCTTAAAAGTTCAAGACTTGAAGACTTCTTTGACGTACTTGCTTACAGACACATTTTGAGACTGTATTAATGATCTTCAGGAAAATACACCACCCTGAGGCTTTTTCCCTTGTTCACTTCAGGTTATGTCTGCATCCAGTTTTGACATAGGAGGCCAAATGCTGGTTGTGTATCAGTGCAGTATTTGGCCCAGAGTTTCAAAGTCTTTACTATTCAGACTTTCCTATGAGGTCAACAAACGAAGTAGTAAAAAAAGAAAATATTAAGGCTTCAAGTAAAAATATTTCCTCTCTCTCCCACCCATGTAATAAGGTACATTTAATTTCATAATACTCAATATATTATACAATTAAAGATACAGAGGTCCAACTTTTCAAGGCAGATTGTACTACAATGAAAACCTGGAGGCTAAATGGGAGTGTATGAACAGGGAACAAATGGCTAATAAGATGTAATATGCAATGAAAACTGATGCATAAACTAAACAAAAACTATTGCTGTTTCTTAAATAATACAGTCACAGCTAAAAATAAAAACATGTCAAAAAGATGTAAGACTTCTGAAACGTGAAATAAACATGACAAAAATAAAGAAGCTACTTTACAAGATGCGGTAACTTGTGCTGGATTTTCATGGCTGATCCCCACCTACAGTAAATCAGCATCACCTACATGACCTTTGATGGAGCCACACCAATTTACACCAGCTGAAGATTTGGCTTGCAGTGTCTGTAAAAACTGAGACTATCTGGGCAGAACCACCTTACTGCTAAACTGTAAACTGCTTGAAGAACTATACTTTAACATGGGCTGGATTCTGCTCCAAAATTAGCTTTAATAAATAGGTCCCCAGTCCTGCAACAGGAGCTATGGAAACAGACACATTTATGAGAAAATAGCTGCAGGTTCAGTGCCTTTGATGGAAATGAGGCTGGATTTGCTGCATGCGATCTCCTGTTAACAGTTCTGTTCGGATTACTCTTTCAGAAGATCTGAATAACTTACTCCAGGCTGTGTGCACTGAACTATATGCAAACCTCAAAAGGAAAAAAAAGAATACTTTGGTACCATTGTAAACCGACGAACAAGTCTAATGTCTCTCAACTGTGGGCAAAACTACTCACAAAATATATAATCCTTACCACTGAACCTGTAATGACACAGTGCATTCATTCTTTCCTCTCTTACCCCTTGTGAACTATGTCAAAATAACCCTGGATATTAGTGCTTTATACACACAATACTGTGTTTAGTCTTACTGAGAAATTCTCTCATGAACTAATGTAGTTAACTTCAAAGGCCCTTTGGCCCTTCAAGTTCCTCAGTAGCTTTTTTTTTCTGTGTACAAACGCAGGAGAAAGAACGATCAAAGTGGAGCATCACTGGGATGCAAATCTCAAATATTGGTGCAGATTTCAGCCTTGTTTGCATGAATTTCATGTACGTATTCAAAGATACATGATAAAATGTGCCCTTGTTTAGCTCCCTTGCCCAAATTCAGTGTGTCACATATCCCCTCTTTGTCAGGGCTTACATACGGCATACATGATACTTTAAAAATAAGTAAGTCTTGTGATACTCTATGCACCAGAGTGAATTCCAGTCCTTGAGGAAGTATTGCATCTTCCCGAGGAGTTAACATTAGGGTAGAGTTACAGATTAATAACAGTTAAAGATGGAAGAAGTCTGCAAGGCCCCTGCAGGCTCACCTCTTTCAGAAATTTCTTTAATGACTTGTCCAAATACTGTTTGACTGTCCTAAACTGTTAGTCTCCAATACTCTGCCTTGGAAGACTATTTCCCGTCCATCTTTTCTGCCCCCTTCTAAACATAGACCACTGGTTACCAGTGACAACCCTTTCATTTACCTTTGGTTTTACATCTTTTAAATAATGTATTTGTACAATTACGATAATCAATTTCCACTTCATTGCTTAGCCAGTGACATGTTTCTAGCCCTTTAAATCTTCTCATCAGCCAGCTCGTCCAGTCTTTCAATATAAATTGCTCCATCTGTACCTGATCTAGCTTGCCAGCATCTTCCTGGTACTGTGGTGCCTCCAGCTAAAGACAATATTCTACATGCCAGTGAGCAAATCTGCATAGAAAGACTATTGCTTCTCTGCTCTGCAATGTCCCTGCAGTGGGCATTTAAAATATCACCAAGGCAATAAAATGCACGCTGATTTCTAGTTCACTTTCTCATAACTTTGCCCTATTTCAGCTGCACTGTTTTCCAGGTTTCTCCTTTCAGGCAACATAGAGCATTACACAGAGAGATGATTAACTTTCCTATGTTATCTTCAACCTTCCTCTTCAAAAATGATGTGATATACAAGGGACATAATAAGCATATATTGCAGCATATGTCAAGATTTATCAAATCAAAAGATAAATTTTAACCAGGCAAAACTGAGGTCAATATTTGCCTTCTGGAATAATTAATCTCAACATACATGAAAACAAGTAAGTTGTTATCAACACATTCTGAATTGCTACCAAATATCTGGCGAGCTCTCCACTGTAGTCAAGGACTGAAAAGGATCCAACCCCTTGAAACAAATATCCTGAAAAATTATGAATTTAGCTCTCTAGTCCAAACTATTCACCAGGAGAACGAGGTGGGAAGTCGAGGTTTCATATGCTGACTGGATAAATAATGGTTTTTAGTGACTTTGGCAACAGTCGTTCAGGATGTTAATAACTGCACACATGATCTGGCTAGTTAGCATTGGTCCAGATCTCAGCACTTTTGCCTTCTGAGGTGGTAACTGAATGGGAAGGAAAAGGAGAAAAGAAAAAAAAATACAATTTGTCCCAAAATTAGCTTTGCCAGAGTCCTCGTATTTGTGACAAAAGTAATGCACCCCTTGTTTTTAATACTAAAGTTGTCTTTCAATCCAACAAAGTAAATGTAGTTTTCTGGAGACAGGAAAAGGAAACCTCAAAATGTTAAATAGATTTGATTGGTATTATTTTTAAAAGTTGTTCCCCAGGGGAAAAAGCCCAAATGGAAAATCCTTTGTCTAACAGTACTGAAGACCAGAGGGAATGTGCTAGTAATTAGGCAGACAGAAAATTTATATCCTTTAGATGTACGCTTGGCTCAGTTACACACACTGTAAATTCAACAGATCATGATAACCTTGCGGCAGGATTACACAGACGGCACCAGGACAAGGCAGTAAACCGTGTTATTGCCTAAATCCAACAGGTAATAAGAAGGGTGCAGGAAAAGCAGCTGATGTTTGAAGTATGTTCCCATCCAAGTATTTCCTATCTGCTTGGTTTTGTTTCTGAGTCAGAGAAGCCTTTAAAAACCAGAGGGAGCAGAGGTCAGAGTGGAAGATCCTTACTGGTGGTGCAGTACTTTTCCACGAGAGACGAACACGCGCGCACGCACACAGTTTCACACACAGGGAGGCGAATGGCAGACAGTGAGAAGCTGTTGCTATCCTTTCTCCTGCTCCCATCTGGGACCAGGGAGGCATTTAAAGACGACACGGTGGTTGTGGCCCAAGTGCCCTTGCCTTGCTCCTTCCCAGGAGAAGGAACCCAACCTGCAATGCCTAGGGGACACAGAGCAGTTCTCACACATGCAGACTGCCCAGCACAGGAAGCCTGCTTTCCCCGTCGGTAGGAAAACAGCAGTTGGGCCTCTGACTCCTGCCCGACACATCGCTGGTCAGAAGAACTGGGAAGGGGCATGGGAAAAACTGAATGATCCTGGACTGACCGTACTTTTTCACAGCACAACTGGTACACAACAGGTTTATTGGACAGACACACGCACAATGGCTTTAGCGCTCTCTTGCACGAAATAAATCCGCTCTGTGGTTGTGGTGTTAGGTCATAGCCAGCTCCTGCCTGTTGTTTCAGGAAGAGTCTGATGGACTGTACAATTTTATTCCCTCAAGAATAAGGCTGCAGCTGGTTTTTTGGCCAAAAGAGAAAGATGGAAACAGAACAAACTCAAAACAAGAAAAGGAGAGTGGCCGGCTGCTGCTGCTCCTTCTTTGTTGTTGTTTGAGTCTTCACAGTGCTCCTAGCTTCATGGCTGGCTGAGTGGATGGCTCTTTAATTAATTTTATTTTACACTGAAATTTCATAGGTTGTTCCACCAACTCCAGACACCTTCTTAACATTTGAGTGTCTAGCAGGGCTGACAGGCGTCCCCTGGGAACTTGATGTTGAGCCCAACCTGGATATTCCTTTTGGCTGTCCATTAATTTTATTGTGAGGTGTCTTCAACTGCATGTCATCCCTGCATCAAAAGACATATCAAAAAAGACAGTGTTAGTGACCAAAGTGTGATAGCAGAATGGCTTCACTCAGGATAAACAATTTCCCCTGTTACCCTGAGTCCCAATGTTGCAAAATATTCAAGCATGAGAGCAACCTGCTTGAAGCCAATACACTTGATGAAGAGCCACTGAAATCAGAGAATTCATTTGGCCATTAGGTTAGCGGATCAGACCCCAGTAATATTTCTTTATTTGGTTACTTGCTTAAATGCTTTGTTGAACCAAAACAATAGTGCAAGTATTTGTAGGATGCAGAAGGGTTTAACTGTCACCACTGTTGACCTTAAACCAAATTGTGTCTTAAAATCAGAAATAAAATACTCAGAAAAAACACTTCCCAGTTAAATATCCAGCTAAGCAAAATTGTTGCTCATCTCTGAAAGACATAAGAGAGGTGAAGCATTAAGACTTCTTTATGACAAAAGACACAAAGTGAGTGAAGTCAGGAAGCACTCTAGGATGCCTGTAATTAAAGACCATATTCTGGATAGACTCTTTAAAATAATTTCCCTTTTTATGACCTACTGCCAGGAAGCACGGACAACAGGCTTTCCTCAAAAGATCTTTTAAATCTAGGCCACTACACACTAAAACATAATGTGTCTCATCCCCAAGATGTAAATAGCACAAAGTAATTAGATAAAAGCCAACCAAAGAACTCGTGTGTGTTCTGGAAGTGCGAGCACAACTGAGGGCTGCTGTATTCTCACATCTTACTCCTGCACAGTGGATGTCTGCTTGGGTTTGCCTCAGAACCCAAAGAATACTGTGTGGTTTCATAGAATGCTGCTGTATCCCCAAACAGCTCAGATATGCAGGGACCAAATTCTACATTTGCCTCACTGAAGTATTATAAAAGCTCTAATTCAGTGTTGAAATTCTCCTGAAGAACACAGTCTGCCTCCTGAAACAAGGTAGAAAGGAGCTGGGGAGTGTTAGGGGACAGCACAACCAAGAATGAAAGACTAAGCAAAGGCAACCAGCTTTTCATATAAGCATCTTCCCTACAGCAGCAGCTGAAACATCCAGGTCTCAGACAGGGGGCAGAGAGGCAAAAGAAAGGCCACAGGTATTTCACTGAAACAAATTTGTTTCTTTAATACATATGAAGAGGAAAGAAAATCACCATCTACTTCATGAAAGGTAGATCTCCTACCAGTAGACAAATCATCTTAACAACTACGATTCACTTGAAAACACTGAGGAAAAACTTGCTGGCACTAAACTTCAGGAGACCTACAATAATGGATCTCCCATATTTCAGTAACTTTTCCCAAGCTTTTCCCAAAATAATACTGGAGTGAGAAACCTGGGACCTTAACCAGAGGACAGCACAGTGCAGTCAGTGCCAGATGCAAATAAAACCTAGATATTTCTAATGAACTGTCCAGGCCCCCCAATTGGCTGAAATACTGCATCCTTGGTGGGATGATGTAGCTCTTATCAGACTTTCTAAGCCCTACAGTCTCCAGAAGAAAGAAAAAGAAAGATAAGTGCATGCAGAAGCTGCAGCTGAGGATCTTGCTCAGATACCACTTACTCAGGTTCTCAGCACAGGAAATCTTCTCTCCCTACATGCTTTCCCACAGAAAGGAAGGAGTCACTGAGGCCCTAAGGTAATGCTAAGATGGTCTGTGCTTTTATCACCACTTCTGCATTGCTGTCTATGCCAAGACCTGTTTCCAGGCCTGGTCTCAGCCCCTCTTTTTCTTACAGGGTGCATACCCTTGCACATGCAGGGTATGCTTGCACATGCTGTGATCCCAGCTTTTCCTCTGTGTCCAAGCAATGGCTGCGTCCAGCCTCCCTTTAAGCTGCAAACTGAAACAGCTCCACCCTTTTGTGCATAATGGCAGGGATAATCTGCCTCACATCTTGCAAGTGTCTTATCCAATTCAGCTAAGGCACTAACACTGTGACTTGTACAACTTAACTGACCACCTGCAGTTCAAGTTATATCAAATGTGCAAACACTTCATCATGTTGAGGTAGGTTGTTAGGAGGGTGTTACAGAAGAGAACCCACAAACCTCCCACCCTTGCTGGCCTACAGCAAACATGTAATCTGTGTTGTGCCTGCAGTGAAGCGCTCTGCACTCGCGTGCAAACAGATTCACATTGCTAAGCAGCACCTACAGCAGTTACATACCTTTGTGCTCCCACTGATTGCACCTCTGTAATTTCCACAGTGTTTACAAACGAGACAGCCTTCGGGCCTCCATAAGAGGGTGACCTAGGCATCCCTGTGGGGGACGACGGGACCTGGTGGCCTGGAGACTTGTAGGAGCCATTGCTCACCCTGCTCTGTAGTGCTTGATGGGTTTGGACATTATTATTGGCTAAATCAGCTTGCAGAGAGGTTGTGGAAGTCCTTGGTGCTCTTGTCATTGCACTTGAGAGTGAAGACACTGAGGACTGCAGTATAGGGTTCCTTGTGCTAAAACTGGTAGCAGCCATCAGATTGTCTCTAGATCCATATCTCATTGCCATGCTGCGTGGGTCTTCAGAGAGCGTGCTGACTTGCTGAAGGCTGTAAGAGCTAGGGGTGTCATAGACACCTGAGTCTGCAAACACTGAATCAGGGTGAGAGTGGAGGAGCTTCTCCCTCTCTTCCATCTCTTTCCTCTCCTGGATGGATGCCATAATGGTTTTGGAAAGGTTATCATAGCGGACTGGGGAGGGGTCTCGCTGATGTGGAGCTGGACCCCCCAGCACTGGGCTGAAGCTCTGCGGTGGTTGGCGCTGCAGCTCGCTCCCCCGAAGATGGCACATTTTGGCTGATAAATAGGGGGAGTGGTACCCAACAGAGCTGACAGCAGAATGAGCAATGCACTTCCTCCCCGAGGGTGACATGGGGTTTAGCAAACTGTCATATGAAAGACTCCCATTTCTGTTTGACAGGGAATTGGGAGAAAAGATGCTTTTGTAAGGGGTGGAAGCCGCCCCTTCAGACTTTATTGGATGAAGGGGCACTTTGTCTGTCCCTTTCCTGCCAGCAGATTTCAGGCTCAGGGATCGTGAATTGATGGCAAAGGAATCTATCTGGAGTGGGGAAGACTGATAGGTCTTGTGGAGGGAGCTCTTCCGGTAGCTGGGGATGTCCAAGCTGGGTTCGGACTGGTAATCAAGGCTCCTGCCATCCTCTTCTATCAGAGCCCCTTGACTGTGTCCCTCCTGCATGGTGATCTATAACAGAGGTAAATATGAGAAACAGAAGCCAATGATATGTAAGTACAGGTTTGCTCTCCATGGTGAGTGCATGGGAAGAAAAGAGCTGGAGGTCTCCCCTCAGACTTTCAGCCCAGCTACGACACAGGTTGCTTACAAGGAATCTCCTAACTCTTGTTCAGCATATGGATGAGCATCTCAGAAGCAAGGAGGAATTATTCGTAATAAGTGCTAAGTAATATTGACAGTAATAGATATGTCAATAAAGGACACTGAAAACACAGAATGAGAGACCTTCTAAACTGAGACTCAAGTCTCAGTCAAGGTAAATCAGACCGTAATCTGATAATACTGTCCTTGGAAAAAGCATTTCAACTTTTCTACAAATAGCTCTTGAGTTGTAGGATGTCTGGCTTTGCATGCTGAGTCAGAAATACTTCAGGCTTCATTTCAGCACACCGGGGACCTGCACACTCTCATCCATCTCATCCACTTTACTCAGAACTATGAATATTCAGTAATTCTGAATTTCTGGTAATAGGTCTTCAAAATTAAGCACCTAAGCTTAATTAAAGCAGAGAGGCTCCTTTCCACCATTTAGACAACAAAATGAAGCAATTTCTCTTTTTAATTGCCTGTGTAGGAGAGAGTAGCCACATCAGAGAAGGAAACATAGGCCATAATTTATTTATGTGGACCGAAACCAGACAGGACTTCACTTTGTTTTACTCTGTGACAGATTGCTTACAGTTCTGCTCATCTGAAATGTCATTCTGTGCTAAAGCAAGTAATTTTCGCTGCTATTTTTTAGGAAAGATTTGACATAATGCACAATAAATTGGCGAAATCGGCCCTGCGAATGAAGAATATTATCAGTCACATATTTAGTCAGAAATGCAGTCAATGCAGTTTGTTCTTTATCTAATTTCTTTTAAAGGAAAAGAAAAAAATCCGAAAACCCCTAACTGGCAAAAATCTGGTTTATTCTGAATTTTTCTTCTTTTTTTTTTTTTTCCTCTTTCAACTAGAAGATAGGAAAATATGCAAAACAGCTCCCTGTCTTCTAGAGTGTGGTGCTAAATTTGGCCTGCTCTGGAAAAAGGAGACCAAGTGACAGCCTGTAAGGAGGAGGAAAGAGCAATGACGTAGCTTATAAGTATATCTGTGCTATTTATCCTCATGCCCTGATGCCTCTTTCCTAACAGCTTTCACTGCTCAAAAGCAGAATTGTATTCACAGGCTGAAGCACTGATACAGAAGAGACAACATGATATTCCTCACACCAGCTAGTCTCTTTCCCTCTGTACCTTAAATTGAGATATGGCTTGGCAGACAAACACATGCCATCCTATCTGCTTGCCAAGTGAACTCCTTTTTGTAATATTCCCAACTTGACTACTAGAAAGTTGTGACTACTACAAAATTGAACAGTCCACAAAGCTGATTGTATGCACATCAGTCAGCCTATAGTAACAACATCTTTTTACGTTAGGATTGAAAGAGCAACTCTCAGAGTGAAGATGCTGTACCCTGTTATCATTTCATAGCACTGCCCAGTCTCCTGGCCTAATCAGAACCTATCCTGCACCTACATTGGATCTGTGGCTGTGCAGTGAATGAAGAGAGTAAGTTTGCCTTCCACGGCTCTCCGACTTTTGGCATCATGACCCAAAACACTGTCGCCTACACAGCTCGAAAGTGCTGGCTGATGCCTATAAATAGAGTATTTTGAATTGGATGTCAAGCCATTTTTCATGTAATAAAGTAAGGATGATAGGATATTAAACTTTCTGGACACAGTGAACACACTGTTCTCACGTTCCCTTTCATAAGCCAATCTTTTCTTCATTAAGTGGACAAACCCAGAGAATAAGATCTACAATTACTGCAGCATGACTAAAACACGAACTTGGTGATAGCTGGAATTCCATCATCTCTCACCATCTTTCTTTTCAGAACAAAAAGGATTCCTCACCATTTAAGGAACACGCTGTCTTATTTCAGTGTTGCTACAGTCAATTATATATCTCTACCATGTTTTCCTCTCTCTTATGTCACCCCTTCTTCTTATTGCAGGGGTGACATCAGAGCTCCTGGTGAAAATAATTGTAACACTGCATTGTGTGTGATATGTGTGTTTTAAGGGTATCATCTCCACTGGTGTGTGAAGACTCGGATACATATTACAAACATACAGTTAGACCGGTGATTTTCAAACTGCTGCTCTCAGGCCCTACGGGGCCAAGGAATATTTGCAATAAATCCATGAAAAATAATTGAGAAAAACAAGCCTATCAGCAGTGGGCTTAGTTTTGCACACTGCTTCCAGGGGAAACAGTTGTAAACTGTTTCAAAACTCCTAAGCAAAAGAGAAAACAGAATTCCAGAGCAAGTCTCCCTAATTGTATGGACTTCAGTTTTCTTGATAGGAGGAAATGATGTCAAGTATTAAGAAGCTTTGGGTTTTCTTTCCATGTAACCCAAAAGTGCTGAGAAGGTGCTCAGAAAGGTCAAACATGACTAATCTTCCATTAATTTTAACTAAAGTAACTCTTGGGATGCTTTAAAAGTTGTTTCTGTTTTGCAAACTGACATCTTAAAGAATCACTGAGCATGTTGTCTGTTGGCTAAAAGGTCTGATCCAGAAAAGCGCTAAGCATGCCCAGCTCCCTCTGAAGTGAATGTGAGTTGGCACCTATGTCAGGAGAAGCCAACGGGAAGTGACACTTCTCAGCATCTCAGGATCAGGCCGAGACACTGGTAAAGCAGCAGCGCATGCCTGTCAGCAGGACTGATGTGTCAAGCTCAACAGAGGAAAGCTGCAAAAGCAGACATGTTTTCCTGGGGAGCATAGTGCAAATACACACTGTCGCACAACAATGCCAAGCGTTGTTATTTACTTTCACACTCTGACATTCACTGAAGCCCTCTGATGAATTTATCCTCAGCTCCATGCTGCCCGGTGTTATATGGGAGCAGATTCTCCCAGGCTCGCTCACCTGCTCGGCCGTAGCATGGTAGTGCACTTTGGGATTGTTGGTGAAAGCTGGTCGGTACTTGTACATGGCAGGTGTAGGAGGGCTGATAAGTTTGGGTGAAAGGCTGCCTTCTGTAAAAGAGAAAAAGAAAAGAGGACTTTCTATTAAAATGTGTGGACGGAAAGCTACCATCCCTAATTCCTGGCCATCCATGCTCTTCTGCAAACAGATCTGTTCTGGAAAGAATAAAACTTGCAGTATTTTTTGTGCAGAATTTCACTAAAATCACTGGGGCCTTTTTGGAAATAGCTGTACACTGCTGCCAGATCAGCAATCCGGAGAGAAGAAACAAGGTATAATATATTAAGTGGAGTGACATATTTTGGTGAATAATATTTTTGCCATAATTTGAAATGTTAGATATTTAGGTTGACTACAGCTACTAGTTTTGTCTGAGCAGAAAAAGGTTTAATACTAATCAAGCTTTAATTTCACATTTCCATAAACGAAATAATTCAGCTTGTAATGCCTAAGCATTTCATGCTAACATTTCTGATTCCTTAGTTCAAAATAAAAATTTTCATTTTAAAATTGATCAAAAATTTGAAAAGGGGTTTAAAAGGGTTTAAAAAGTCTGCAAAACTGATATGAAATATCCAACCTAAGCTTGAATGAACCACTTCAAGCTCCTTTTCTTTCCCTTTACTGCTCAGAACTCCTATAGATAGAAAAAAATCCTTCACCCAGATCTCATTACTGTTTTGAAAGAATACCAGAAGCCTTTTAAAGAGGCTGAAATATTTTCTTATTATTAAAAATAAAACACTGTTCATGCAACTATACCTTCACTGGTCCCCAGCTGCCCTTTTAGTTCAGAGTACTTGCTTGGATCTCCTTTGGGTGGGAGAGGTGGTTGCACATCCATACTTTTATCCTCCAGACCTTCCAGGCTAATTTTGGACTGAAAATGACCAAAGAATCAATCATTACCCACAATTTGGTTAAATAACAGCACATGTCAGCGTGCTGGATATACCTCAGAACAAGAACTACCTATTCCTACAATGACAAACATGATTTAGCATCCACTGCAGACAAGGACTGTCATGTGTAAAATTAGCATTGTCATAACAAGCCAGTATAATTTTAAATGCACTATCCTAGTGTACTTGGCATGCTAAATAACATTACCATCATGCTAGTTAATATGTGGTAGAAGGCAATGGTGTTTTCCAGCATTTTTCAGCAGCTTTCCTGGCAGGTCTCAGCAAGTAACTACCCCAAGAGTGTAACAAGTAACTATCCACAAAAATCTTGCAAGGTATCTTCTTCTGAGTCCACTGCTTTTTATGTGACTAAAGAATTCCTTCTCTCTATTTCATGACAGGAGAAACTGAAAAAAGGAGAGAACTTGGCTTCTGAACCAATATTCCTTTCACTGGACCACAAGCCTTCCTGCAGTCTGGAAGCTCAAAACCTTCTTTGAAGTACAACAGCTGACCCGGTGATACAAGGCTTCCCACAAAGTATTAGATTAGTTAAAATTAATTCGAACACCAAAAGGTGGCAACTCATGGGACAGAAAGTAGTTATTGCAAAGAACAGCCACATCCACAAGATGCCCAGGGGTATTCTAGTAGAGAGCTGCAAAAACAGCTGGATCAAGAGCTGCTCTTACTGAATCTGGGTTACTTTCAGAGGATGAAGTATACAACAAGGACTCAACCTCTATCATTTTCTAAAACAAACAAACAAAAAGCATCATCTCAGAGATTTTCTATAACAAACTCCTTCTCAGGCTTGATAAAGCTCAATCCATGCTCTTCAAAAGCAGAGCTTGAAGGCTGCCTTACCTTGCTCCGGTTGAGGTTGGCTTGGATCCCGTTGTCACTGATCTTCACTGTGATCTGACGCTCAGATAAATCAGGTCTGAGGAAAGGAGGCTTCACACTCACAGCTTGCTTTTTCTTGGGCTCAACTACGTACCTGATTAATTTTTCAACAGTCAATATTAAAATAAACAATAACCTAAGAACAAGGCATAGAGACAAAAAAAATCTTCCTGCTTCCAGGGTATGATTTAAGAATGTGTCAGAATCGAGGTAAGCAGGCTTCATTCATTTCAATGGATATAATAATTAAAAAGCAATAAAAAGAGCTTAGTGATCAAAAGGAGAGGATGCATTAAAAATCCCAAGCAATTTCTAGAACAGTGATGGACATGAGCACAGTTCACATGAAGAGAGAGAGGGACCTACCACCAGTGAAAGCGATTTACTAGATCTTACCTACTTAACATGAAACAGCTTTCCTGTGGTGGAAGATGGTGACTGGGGCAATAAGACCCAGTACATGGGGAGTTAACATGGAGAAGATGATGTGCAGTCAGTTCTAGCTTACCACATGGTCACTTTTGTCTGTAGCATCTTTAGTGTTCAAATAAAGGGATGTAAAAGAAACAGACAGGGCTATAGGAAGCAATAAATTTAAATGGAAATGGCTGACCTAATTTCTTTCCATACACTTTCAATACACAGGACAATTGGAACTGATCTTCACAAAACACAAACATTCTGCTTGCTGAAAGTCTGAGAATAGCCATGATGATGATAGTACTCACACCACTCTTAACAGGAGTGTCTCCCAGCTTTTAATACCTAGCTCTCTTAAAGTATCTTGACCTGATTTTCACGTTTCAGTAAGTTTGAGAAGCAGCCATTCCAGAGTCTTCACTTATACACACATAACAGTCTTTCAGGACTTATTTGTTGCACAGCAAAGGGAAAAGAAAAAATAAAAGCAGATAATAGTGCCAGGGTCTGGAATCGCTCAACACCCTGAAAAGGCTCAAATAAGTCTTCTTGTAGTATGACTATTAATGTGTTTGCAGGCTGGACATCTCCTGCACCTAGGATATTTATACTCCATCTGATCTACTGCATTAAAATCCTGGTTTTGAAATGTGAAACGATAAATCCATTTCCCCCAAAATAGAAAGCCATAAATAAATCCCAAGTTCCATGATATAGACTTCATTGAAAATCTGTTTTATGATAATGAAAGTGCCAGTGAGATTGAAAACCACAGCAGCTCTAAATTAGATTTAAGTCTTAAGGAGAAAGGCTGATTTTAGATTCCTTCCTTTTCTCCAGCAGATTAGAATACCTGGATGTTGACCGTACAGTGCAAAAGTGATGTTGGGAATACGGTAACATATGGAAACTTACTTTGTTACTGAAATGCACTAGATAAGTTAGTGAAATCAAGGTTATAGGCTTTTGATATAATTTGACTTGCTCATTACAAATAAACATTTCTGGGATGAGGGTTATGAATAACATGAAGAAAGCAACTGCTTGGACAGGTTTCAGCCATGCAACAGTGGAACAGCTATCACAGAGCTCTGCCTTTAAGAGTGTTTTGCTTTACTTCTCTGGTATTTCATCAATGGTCTTTTACTTGTGAGCCCAACCAAGCACATTTTCTTCCTCTGTCCCAACCACTACTCCATCTCCCTCGTTCCCAGCTGATAGCACTTCTCTTACCTGGGAGCCAAGGGGCTGCAGAGCACATGTTCCACATTTCCACAGCATCCTCGGGTAAAAGGATTCACTCCTCCACGGAATTTACCTGTCACCTGGAAACATATTCAGGACAGTGCTCAAACCTCTGGTTACATAAAAGTCATCATCCAACCTTCAGAAAGCCAGGAACAAGTAAGTATGCCTTGCTCTGACCCTACTGTCCTTCCCAAACAGATAATTTTTCTTTGAATGCTGCACTCCCTCTCTCCACCTCCATCAGCTACTCCTAGCTAGGAAGCACACTAGCTAAAAATCCCTTCCCAAAAGGGCAGTGTGCCCAGTGTAACTGGGTTTCAAAGTGGCCAGGTTCACCTCTCCATGCTGCTCCTGCATTAGATTAGTGCCTGCTGTCAGACAGACTTCCTGCTTTGGTCCCTTTCATTGCCATTACTTCCACTCGTCTGCCTTGGCAAGTCGCCTCCAAACAAACAGGAATGTCAATTCAACATTCGGAATGCTGGATGAGAGCAGTGTTTCCTTTCTGTCAGCATCACATCCCTAGTGGCAAACAGTACGAACCCCTGCCTTAGGCAGGAGGGTGCCAGGAACTCCCTGGTGATTAGGATGTTTGCTTGGAAATGAGCTAGTTTGATAAAAGCCAAGCCTCATTAGACTGGCGGGATCCATACAAACCTTCATAAGCATTATAAAGGGTTTGTACTCTCTACAGGCAGATACTTGAAAGTAACCATATGGGGATAAATACCAATAAAGCCAGAGAGATTAATAGTGGTTGCCATTAAAAACATTACTGTTGCTGTTTGCAAGTAATGCATTTTAATCACATCATAGTTGTGATCTAGCAACAAGTTTACAGAGCACCAAAAATACTTTAATTACTTGCACATAAAATAACGACGATTAAATGGTTTTGCAATATATTATGCTGGTCTCTTTGATATAACATAAAACTCTTTAAAAGGCCAAGAGAGAAATGTCGGAAGTTCTGAGCGTTGGAAGACTAACCTGATGACTAAGCCATGGGCCTGGGATATTTGGCACATGTGCATTTAATCCTGGGCCTAAGCTGATTTGTGCCAGATGCTGGCAAAGCTCTTCATAACCCTGTGCCCATTTTCTCAAACACAACATGAAAATAGAATTTCTCTAACTCACAGATTACAGTACTAATTATATCAGTTTGGTTTCTAGAGTAGCTTGAAACCCACTGATAGAAAGCAGTCTCAGAAGGAAGGATATTTATTTACTCTATTCAGAAACTAAAAATACCAGGATATGAGCAGATGTTGGGTTATGGGTTATTTTGATTCCATAAGACTTTCAGAGGCATTCGTAAAGCTCACAAACATCTCAAATCGGCCACTGTGCACTCCTAAATCAGTCTGCCTACTATGAATGCTCAAACCCAAGGGACTCTGGAATGAACAAATAACAAAAATTTACAGTAAAGCACCAGAAAGGTCTGTACCACTGTCTATAAAAGGTACTGGGAAAAAAGGACAAGTGTAGCTAAACATATTGTAACTGGAAAGCTGACAGCAGATAATGTTACAGATAGGCAGTACATATGACTAAACAGAAACTAAAACCAGATTACATTTAATCTGCAGAATGACATAGGAAAATGAATTAATCTTAAGCGGTTTGGTAGCTCAGGAGATCAATCCAAGCTAGGATACATTTTCCAACAGTTATTTCAAACAAGTTAAATGCAAAATTCTCAACCTTCTTAATGTTCTTGTAGCCACAAACACAGTAAGTGAATTTTTTTCTTTCCTCTTCAGTCTAGAACTTTCACGAACAGTTTTCATCACTGCGCAAAGACAAGCTTAAAGCAGACCATGATTTGGGCTATGAGACCAAAATGTCCTGGATTTCATGCTACTATTGTTAGCACTATCAAACCTAATTCTTGGCCAAAGTCAGTTTTACAATTAAAAGCAGTTGATTCCAAGGAGGACAGAGAAAAGCATTTAAAGACCTACAGCTATGCTAAGCCTGCTTTGTTCAAAGGCCATGTTAGACAACAGTTCAGGATGACTTCAGCTTCTTTGCTGATGTAAACCTCCCACACTATTCTGGATAGAAGTTTGTATTGTCTCTTGTGGAACAGGAGACCATCTTATCCCAGGTCATGAAGGCCTGGCCTCAGACAGATGTCTTCAGCTCTTACAGTCTGCACAGCAGCCATATAAGCACGTAAGCATGGAGCCATCAGCTTGCAGGACAGTCAGGTGCAAGAGCAGTAAAAATGCGTATGAAAAACAAAAGGTGGAAAAGAAGTGTGATGTGAGAGAAGTAGTGAAAAACCCCAGGTGTGTGAGGGGTGCTTTGGGTAGAGCTGTGACGGGGTAAAGCACTGGAATGCACGCAGTAAATTAACCTTGAGAAGAAAGCTGAAAATGCTGTGTGCAGCTGACTGGCACTTCGTGTGACCCAGTGTCAAGCTTTCTAACTGAGCTACCCCTCATGAACTGCAGGGGCAGTGATTCCATGACTGGATCTCTATCACCTGTATCATGCTATTGATATGCACAAGCATATTGGTCTGGATCCCTCACACAGGGGCTGTGGATTATAGACACTTGAGTAACTACAGGGGAACTAAAGTTTCACAGGCTTTTTGGTACAAGATGCCACATTGGCACTTGGTTTGGAGAAGCAAAACAAGTTAAAACAAACAGCCTCTCCATGTGCATGTGCACATATGCATGAGAACAAGAGAGAGACAAAGAGAGCAAGACAAAGAGCTACTTCAGACCTTAGTATGTGCAGTATGGGTTAGCTGGGGGAGTTCAAAATATCAGGAGACAGGGCAAAAGCATGATTTAATCTTTTCCTTTCTTTCTTTCATTGAAACTTACGGTTTCTTCAGCCTGACTCATAAAGTTTGAACTTCTGGGGTTGATGATACTCCACATAAAATCTGTTTAAAGGCCATGAGTAGATTTTAAATGGTAAATAAGCCTGCAATGATCCTCTGTGGTTAGAGTGGGGAAATCTTTGCTTGTAGTGCATTCAAGAAAAAAATCTGAAAAAATTAGGCAACCTTCCTAGATCTTCATGAAAGCTCCAGTAAAAGTGTTACTGCTGAGATCTGGATCATTTTTTGCTTTACCCAAGCTGACTTGCTAACTTTCCTTCCCAACTCAGCATCTTAGCCACAAACAGAGAAAGGTTGCTTCTTACCTGTTCATTCGTTGTGCGCCCTCGGGCCACTAGAACAATATGGAAGCCAGTGAGACCAATGACTGGAATAAAGAATAACCCAGCCACACACATGACAGCCATTCTGTATGCAGGAGTTAAAGAAACTGGGATAGGTGAAGGGAAAAAGAGGCTATGAAGGAGAGGGAGAGGAAAAGGAACAAAAAAAAAATCTTGGAAATAGGGAGGGTGTCCCTCACCTTTAATTAACTGAATTTAACTGCTCCTAGCCTGATTCCTTATAGTTGACATGGTTAAAAATAATGTGAATTCATTGATATTTGGCTGTAATCATCTTGTAAAGACCATTCTGCACTAATCTATCAACAGGGGTAGCACTCCTCAGAGTCAACGGTTCACGTATTAAACTAACATGCAGGGGGGCTGCTTCCAGGGCAAACTCTTTTAAACACAGTAACAGACTTTTAAATAGAGTAAATGGTACCCAGCAGTTTAGCGTCTACTTCCCAACTGGAAGTAAAACTCAGGGAGGCATCACATACTTCTGCTGGGTTGTCACGGCAAAGATTAAGATCAAAGACTGAAACAAAAGGTCAGAGAGTTTTGGGAGTAATTGATGGTTATACAGGTAAAATGAGTACAGAGGAAAACCTGCACTAGGCATTTACAGGGAAGAGTAATGGAGGAAAGGAGAGGAGTAGATCTCCACCAGTTCCAGCAAGACAAATCTTCAGATTCATTCTTTTACATTTCCCCCAAGGCCACCTTGGGTGTTGAAAGACCAAAAAGAAGGATACGTAATGGTAGTATGAGCTGCTCCCAGCTTTTCCATATGGTTTAGTACGAAGATGAGCCCAAAGGTGAATACTCCAACCATGTGTGTACTTAAGGACAGCAAGAAGAGAAAAAAATAGCGATAGTTCCTCCGTCCTATGCAATTGTTGACCCATGGGCAGTGATGGTCAAAATCCTTGTAAAGAAAGGGAGACAGAGGGAATGATATCCAAACAGTGAAAGGAAATACACTGCGTTAGAAATAAATCTGAGCCACCATCATGTAAAATTACATGAGGCTACTCTGCAGCTTTACAACATGCTAGAATCTCTTTATAAGGCTTAGGACCAAGTGGTTTCTGTCTCTATGGATGGAGAGGCACTTGAGTGTTTACAGGGTTTAAAGAGAGTTACAAAAAATGAAAGGCAGGTTATTTATCTGCTAGTAGCAGAAGCACTAATTTTTTATCATCCTTAGCATGATTCATCAATTACAATGAAGTTATTATAACATGGAATGTTCTGAAGATGCAATACTGCTGCAGGATTCTCTGCCCCACATTTCTGTATTTATACATAGCTGAATTAATCCACTTTAAACGATGCACATGATGAAAAGTACTTTTTTACCAAGTGAGTCCTCAAAGAAAAGCAATAGCTGGATAAGGGAAAGTTCTGCACAAGATCTTCAACAGTTATGAACCCAAACCTGACTATTGGTCTCAGTTAAAAGTTCAAAGTCTCATAAAGTCAGATCCCTTCTAACAGGAGATTCAATAATGAGGGCAAGCCACAGACACATTCCAAGTGCATTTATACAGTTTCATAAGCACGTTAATCCACTGTCTTCAGTGGGATTATTCTTGACATTTGAAGACAAGATCAGGTGCAAGAAATAACCCCTCCTTATTTCTGTGTTCTTCAGAACCAATAGCTCACACTCATTACATCAAGAAATGAATTGTTTATTCTTTGTTTTGTGGTAATGCTATTTTTAAACATTCCTCAATGACGACAAAGAGGTTTTTGTGTTTTTAAATTTTATGCAATGTATTTACCAAAATTTACAAAATACAAGAGTATGGATTGGAGCTTCCTCAAAGCACATTAGAAAATGACAGGGCTTTTAATGAAGATCATTTCAGGCTATATCTGAAATGCTGACATAGCATATGTCTATTATGCAAATCTGGTAGTATGCAGCTCAAAGTATCTATGATTGAAACTGTGTAAGTACCCACTGCAAACACTTCAGTAAAGAAAACAAAAAAATCTAACTACTTTTGCCACAGATTCATTTTTGGGACCTTCTGGTCACAGCAGGCTTTAGATTTTAAATGATTTTATTTCTGTAAGCGCTGTCAGCTTTTGTTGTTTGTTCTTTTTTATCAAATTAGCTCAAAAGTTTTATATTTGGGAAAAGAAGTTTTATTGCACATTCTAGATTCAAAGTGGAAAGATGTGAATTATAACCCTGACAGGGTTCCACATGGAACAGCCAGCAGTCACTCCTATCACTGTCTGTGAGCTCTTCCAGAATAGATGAGTGAGAAATAAGCATCACAAGAATCAATAGAACATGCTGTGTAAGACCATGATTTATTGATTCAGAAGTCATTAATGCTTTTTGCCTATATTCCTCCACAGCAGTCATAATTTAATTATACAAGCAGAGCTTCTTACTTGCCCACCAGAATAGTAAGGAACATTCAACTAATCTGACCATCAATAAAACTTCTGGAGAGCTAGACAGAGTCACCTTGCATTCTGCTACTTTATTTCAGTTCCTTTTGGATTCTCTCCCATTGTCATTTCTGCTGCAGCACAGATTCCATGGAGGCCTTATGGCAGCATGAAACAGCAAGTGTTTATGCCAGTGAGTTCTGAGCAATATTTTTTTGAGAAAATTTCATTTCTTCAAAATGAATTTTCGTGCTGAGCCACTGGGGAGGGCAGAAGAAGGAAATTCCATGGGACAACTGAGAATTTACCATCATCTAAACAATCCTCAAGAGCTTGGGTTAGTGAAAACATTTATGTTTTAAAACCAGGAATGTGTGACTCAGGTTTTCTACAAAAAATCCACCTCTATCCAACAATTCCGAGCAGTCCAAAGAAACTGTGTGATGCAACTGACAATAGCTGTCGCTATTCCTCTCTGCCCAGGGACCTTGGCAGCTCCCTACTTTCCATCTTCTCAAATCCTGCATCCTTCTAAGGCCTTCTGCAACAGGACAGCCTTGTCCTATTTATTGATGGCTATTAGGCACAGCAGTGCTTCCAGATAATTATGACTTAGATATATATTGCCCTGAAGGAGAAAATGACTGACACAAGATAAATCCAGGCAGCCTTCCTCTCACAAGTAACTGAGCTGCTTTCTTTGGGACTATTCCCTTGCTTATGGCAAAGAGGATTAGGACAAAGATGGGATATACAGTATTCTAGCTGACGTTGGTACATTTTCTTTTTCTGATTAGTAATTCCTTTCATTTTAATGGTACAGCTGAATATATTTTAGACATATGAAAGATTTCATCTTTCTTTTGGAAAAAAAATAGACCTTGCAGCAGAAATGATCCTTAAGAAGTGGAATTTTTAGCTCAGCAATAAAAAATCCCCCCTGGCAATATGCTGCTGTGGATACAGCACTCTGTACTTACAAATCTGGGAGATGTTTATAGTCCAAAAGCACATCTTACTGTTTGGGGTTATTTTTTAAAATCCTGTGTGCCTCACCAAGACCCTAAAGCTATTAAGAAACATGAAACCCCATAATTCAGAGCAACCAACATTAGAGCCATGAATGAGTTCATGCTCTGAGCCGGGGTGTTGAAACAAACATGGGGTCTTTCTATTGACAGGAGAATCACTCACTGAATCCTGAGCTTGGTTTTCTCAAAGCTCACACACCATTCTAGCTTCTCTGTTTGTCCACTAACGTAGGCACCAGTTTGTTCTGAATTGAATGTTGAGATCTGTGCTCACACATGACAAGTTACAATGGTCCACCCTAAATTTCCTGCTCTCCTGAACTCTGCCTCTGCATCAATTCTTCCATTTACCCCTTCATTACATTTTTGATCCCTTGGCTGCTTCAGTGAAAATATAACCAGCATTATAAATGTTTATCCTAATTATCACTAGCAACAAAGCTGACATTAAACATTACTGTGACTGTAACATACATCAGAACTGAGGACTGTGTTTCAAATGGTACTAATTAGTAGGAGTCCATCAACATGGTTTGCAGCTGAGAACTTCCAGGAACTGAAATACTGGGGGAAGCACCCAACTGCACGTTTCCAGTTGGATGTGCAACCCCATCCCTGAAGCACAGCCAAGAGATCACGGAATCAACAGAACTGTTACCTCAACACAGTTGTCACAGACGCTGCAGTGGGAGCAGCGAGGAGGGCGGTAGAAGTGGCAGGTGGCACACCATTTCATCCGTACTTGGATTCCTTTAATCTCCACATTCTTGTAGAGTGGAGCTCGGAAGTCGTCGTCTTTATCTTCATCTTCATCTGCTGCTCAATGCAAAACTAAAAGTTAGTGGAAATAACAGGGTAAAGATAAAAGAGCTAATTCAGTCAGTGCCTTGGATACAGGGGCACTGCATGTGCTTTTGGGCTTGTCAGAGAAATAACAGAGTGGTGGAAGTGATGGGCTGTCAGAACTGGTTGTTCGGGCTACAGAACACTTCAGTGATCAAGGCTCATTTTAGCATCTCCCATAAGAGTGCCGTGCAGCCTTACTTACCAGCCACTGGACAAAGAGAGGTGCCTGAGTCTTATATTATGAATAGGATGAGCTGCAGACTGGAGTCAAAGGGGAGATGGAAATCACCCAAGCTTTTGTGAGAAGTTCTGCTGTATGCATTTGGGATTAATTCAGTGCTAGCCTACCAGCAGATAAAGTGAAAGGAATTACATCGACAAGTATTAGAAGAAGGTTGTGCTAGCTCAAACTGCAGAAAGCAACCCAGATGACCCTAAGTGACAATGAAGAGTGTCAGTCCACAATCATCCCAAAGGCCTGTTGCCCAGCAACTTTAAGTCCACAGTGAGATTTATCATTCTGAAGCTCTCTGTGTGCCCATAGAAAGTCCTTGCATCAGTGCTTACTTATTTATAGTGCATCCTGTGCTCACCTCTTCATAGCATACCCAGAATGCTCTGGCTTTAGCAGCAGTACATAACTGGGAAGATCTCACCTCTCTCAAAGGCAGCATGGTTTACTGATCCGAGCACAGGACTGGGACTCAGGAAGCCCTGTATTCTAATTTCTCACTTTGTGGCCTTGAGCTAGTCATTTAGCTTTTCTTTGCCATTAGCATGATGAGGATGACAATATCACAGTCATCTTATTAGGGACAACGCAGAGAGCAGATGGTTTATCATCTCAGCTAAGCACTGCCCTGTTTAAGAAAAGAGGCCATTTAAAAATAAATGCACAAAATAAAAGCCACACTATAACTGCCAAATATATATTGGGAAGAAGAGAAAAAAAATGAGAATGACATTCATGAAAGTCTATCTTTTATTCTAGATTCCTGAGATCTTTATTTGTTTCCTTTTGACAGAGGAAATCTAAGAAGTTCACAGCTATTTAACACCTGGTTAAACTTTATAGTGCAGCTGGCATTGGCTGGCTGAATCCAAATTAGGTGGCATTTGATAATACTGTTCCAGCGGGGCATCAATCACTGTCATTTGGTTCTATATTAAATCTTCTCTAAATGTGTTATCATGATACAATTTCCATTGACTTCAGAGGGAGTTTCTTCCTTCACTCAGCTGAGCTTGGGATCTGGCTCAGCTACAGTATTTACCTTTCAGGAGTATTCTCTGGATTAATGTCTGTGGATGGAAGCAGAGTGCTGTACTGGCACCATTCGCTATAATTTCCCTTCATGACTAGTCAGTGGGACTCCTAGTGAGAGCTAGACTTTAAATCCCTTAGGCACTTCTATAAATACAATCTTTATGTTCTTCAATACTATTATAAACTAATCCATGCTGTATAATTCATGGGGGCATGTGAAAACAAGACACTAGAACAATTAAACCATTTAAGCTCTTGTAAAAAACCCTGACACTGCAGACAAAAAGTCTGTACATTGTATATATCTACATGCAATTAAACACATTCGTCTTGCAGAATTGACACATACTTGAAGAGTTTGTCTAAAATAGATTCACATCAAAAGTACTGGAAGCCAGTTTGCAGTTGTATCTGTAATTAGTCAGCAACAAACATCGCCAGTCTCAACCCAGACTGTAAATCAGATATGTCAGCGTAGCCCCGGTATCAGTGACTTAATAATTCCTTTCCTTCTCATTCATTTCGGTGTACTACTGGCAATTCACTCACACAGAGCCAAACCTGATTCATACCAGAAACATTCAGAGAGCCAACTAGTTAAAAAATGAGTCAAAAATGAGTAATGGGTATGGGAGTTTGATTCAGGCCCTCTTCAACACCATATGAGTAAGCTGGGTTTACTTCCCCCATAGTCCAAGTTCTATCTGCCAGAGAACCTGCAAGTTCGTATGACAGAGCTAGAAATGGGTTTATTTCCAGCTTTCAGTGATCTGAGCAGAAGAATACACTGGCAGAGGAAGGTATCTTATTACACACTTTCTCATACTCCGATGCATTGACACAGGGCAGCCAACTTTCATGTTTTTATAACATAACTTACGATTTTTGGTGGCTTCCTTAAAGAAATCATGTGATTCCTTTAGAATCTCAGCTTCTGTATTGCTTATTTGTTGTTTTGATTTTGAAGTAAATTCATACCTAATAGAAATGTGCTAAGCAGCTTGAAAATCAAGAAGACTCAACCTAATTTCGGTAACAGAAAGCAAATAGCTTTATTGTATATTCATTTTAAAGCACTCCTACAATTGTTGAACTCCTCACACTGGCAGCTCTGCGGGTGGCGTGGGGTGGTGATAGCTTTTTTCACATGCACACTTGTGATCTGAAATAACATCTGCTCCTCTTTCCTCCCAGCACTGGTAATTTCTAATCTTTTCCATCTTTCTCTTTTCCTTATCAGTTTGCTTCCTTCACACATCTAAACTCCTACTGCATCACTTTCTACCAGGATGACTTCCATCCCTTTTCCAACTTTTCCCCTTGCTCCCAGCCTCTTCCAGACCAAGCACGTGCATGTCAGAGATAAAAGACCAGGACCACAAATTAAGAGATAGAGACAGATGAAAGGCGAGCTGTAAGAACTCCTCTTCCTGCTTTGCTCCTGACTCCCTTGTCTTGAAGGAGACGGGAAGGACGGGAAGGCGATGAGAAAGTTTCAAAGTTTCTATCTTATCTCCCTGCATGTTTCTCCTTTGAATACAAAGTCCAAAATAAAGAACTCGTTTGAGAAAGAGAAGTGCAAAGGAAGGTATGAATTTACAATACACTCAGTACTGATCTTCATAGGGCGTGCTGAGCACCCAGCTGCAGACTCCAGCCTGAGGGAACTACATTGCACAAAGATATTAGATTCCCAGACTGAGATTTTCAAAACTGAACAACTTTGGGAAAGAGCATGGTTGCTTTCAATAACCTCACACCCAAAGCATGTTTAACCACTGCTCTCTCTGCTGAGACAGAGGAACTAAAAAGCCCAGGAAACTCGTTGTAAGTTCTAAGTGTTTAAGCTTTTCTGAAAATCTCAGCAGCACCTATTTGTACCTTTAAGCACCTCAACACAGCATCACTTAATCTAGTACAAATGGCCAAATCTTGCCTTTGTCTTTACACACAATTATTTCCTTAACTGGAGTGCTGCAACACTTAATCAGGGATTCAAAACCTTCATCTGAAAGGAATGGCAGACAGTTACACATCATTAAACCCTGCTACCCGGAGAAACCTAGCACTTGCTATTCAGGGAAGTCAGCAGGACAGGTACCTTGTTCTTGTCAGGCAGCAATTCAAAATAGATACTGAATTCAGTGAATAGAGGTGAGAAAGCACAGCTTGCAGAGAGCACAGATCCATTGGTTTAGCAAGACTGCCTAGAGCAACCTCTGCTGCAAACTGCATGTGAACAATTATTGGAAGACAGATAAAATGAGGTGATAATTCTCTCATTAGGATGTGTTAAAAGAGATAGCTGCACTGTGGTTCCCATTACAAAAGCTGAGCGATCTTTATCCTAATTTAATCAGCTGTGAATCAGTACTAATTTAAGCAGGCATATCTTTCTAAATGTATACATTTTTAGACACTCTCAGGCAAGCCTTATCCATTATCTTTTTTCAGCGTTCAGTGCTTTTGCATTTGTTTTAAGGCCTTTTGGAGTCTGCTTGGAGGAAGCTGTTTAGCCTCTCCTCTCCACCATGCTACCTATTGTGAAGACAGTGACTTAAATCCAAAGTGCCAGCATGACACAAGGGATAGCAATCACAATCACATCAGTCAGGAGAGGTACTCAAGGAGGACCATTCTATGCAGCCCTGTGCCCTCAACTGCCAGCCTGAGCAAGCGCAAGGACAACTGGCACCTAGCTCAGAATAGAGATGGAGGGTATCCAACATTTCACAACTATCCCTCCTTTTCTGCCAGCTGAGCATACTTGTCAGTCTACCAGGAAGAGTACCAGGGGAAAAAACAGGGATTAGTCAGCAAACAGGGTATATCTACTTTGGCTTGGGCTTTCAAATTCCCCCCACAACAGTCCCATTCTGTTACCTCGAGGGAAAACTCCAGGGTCCATGAAAGTTGCCATGCTGAAGTTTGCCAGTACAAACAAGAACACGAGCCCATTGTACACTGGGATGGCTGGGGAGATGGCTTTTGTCAACCAGGGGCACCTGTGGAGAAGAAAAGTTGTAGGTAAAGGCTCCTTTGTCTCTAGCACATAGTTTCTTCCCACTCACTAACATCACATAGAGAATTAGTCTCACCCCCTCCCCACCAGCCATGCAGCAAGGCTGAATTTGCAGTTTAACCACAGAAATTTCCACAGAGCCAGTTTCAGTGATCTAAAGAACACTGCAGACACCCTCTGTGAAGCTGCTTTGTTCCACAGCACAGAAAGCACTAATTGTCTACACGGCTCATAGGGCTTTGCGACCCTATTGACTTATTTGCAACCTGGCATTTTACTTCTCTGTGTAAAACCTTCATCCCATTGTTGCATTTCTGTTTACTGTCTATGTAGCCTTGTTGCAGTTGGTGTTATTTTTAGTTTTCACTAGTGTAAAGCAGAATAGGGTTCTTAAACCACTGGTCTACACTTCAGGTCCAGACTGCTCACTTCTTGCTATACTTCCCCGAGTGGTTTTTAACTCCAAATAACACTCAGAACCAACACCACAAAACCTCTCCTTGGAGGAAAGTTTAGTCAGACCAAGCATGGTGTCAGGAGAACATAAGAATGCAATATTGAAAAGAAAGGAGATAGTATCTGCCACGTGAACACTTTGAGAAACACTGGAAAGGCCCGCTGCCCACCCAGTGAACGTAACTGGGAGGAACTGACCATAAAGGGTAAAGGAGAAAAAGTAGGAGATTCTGGAAAGAGGATGGAGAAATACCTATAAGCTACAGGAAAAATGTTCTAACTGCAAAGAAGAACACTTCCCACCAGCAGGGGAGGGCAGGACCAAGGCAGAAAATAGCCTGTCTTACAGGCAACTTCACCCAATAAAAAGCAGTGTTTACTCACTCATCCATTTACAGCCTCGCTAGAGATGAGTTCTAAACACTAGACCAAACCCACTTCTCTGTTCTGCACAAGGGGATTTAAGTTGCTGAGAGGAAAAATCTGATCAATCTCATGAATCTTGCAAATATAAATAAGGAAACGTGGGACAAAGAATCTCTTTGAATAGAGTAAGACCCCTGACTGAGCGGCTCCTTAGATTTCCACCTGCCTTGCCAGCCAGGGCCTCCTCAAGCTGCTAAGCAGGCAGCGATTCAGCAGCAATACCCTGCTGCCATTAGCATAAATCATACATTAGCTCACAGATTCGGGATTGTATTTTGCCTGAATTACATCTATGGTTGATTCCGGTTGTCTGCCAGGCTGAAGCCTGCAGGGGGAAAGCAAAAACAACAACAAACAAGCAGCCTTCTCCCAAATCTAATTGCACTGGTTTTGCTCCCAATATGCTGTTTTGAACAGCTGAGAATGGTGTTTCTGACCTTGAAGAGACACTGTTAAACACGCTCTTGTGGCCAGCATTAGGAGGGCACTGCATTTTCTCCTCCCAGTTCTTTGTAAGCAGGCAAGAAGAGATTGCTTTCTGCTCCCCTCCTCTTCACAGCCAGGCTTTTAACATCGCAGTGCTGCAAACTGCTTTTAAAAGGTCCTTTCTCTGCATGTGCTTCAATCAGCCTGGCCTGGAGCAAGTAAAAGATGGACAAACGCTACCCAGGGTGACTGAATGTAAAGCCAAGAGCGACATATGTCTGTGGCTGTTGCCAAACCTCCAGGCTGACTAGGGGAGAAGGAAAAACTAAATCTTCTCACTTGAGTAAGGATGCTTTGCCATAGCACACAGCGGGGGAGCAGAGGCATGGGATTTCTCCTGGGACTGGTTTTGGCAGGGAAAGGCCCAGGAAATTACCACCTATTAGGAGAATTAGAAAGGGCTGGGAGTTCAGTGGAGGGGAGATTAATTTCTATGTTTCTACTGCATTTAAGACCTCATCCATGGTGGTCATGGTGCTTGGGTAAGGGAGCAGGTCTTGTAGAAGCTCATGCTGATAGAGATGAACTAGCTCAAACAGACTCAGCTTGCCCCCATGAAGTACCCTAAGTCTCTTACGTTTCCCAGAGGTGGAATTTCAACGTGCAGCAAGGTCATGCTGACTTGCTGCCATGCTCAGTTTTCCTCAAAGCAGCTGCCAATGACTGAAAACCAAGGCAAGGCAGAAGTTTCTCACTTGCCATGAAGTGTGCTGCAGTGACCTTGCCAAGCAAGCTGCAGGCCTGTCACTAACAACAGTTTCTGCGAGATCCTTTAGAAGAAAACAAAATAAATCCTGAAATAAGCAGTTACAGAATGAATTCTACTCAGGGAAGGGTTCTTCCCTCTAAATTACAGTAAATGGGCATGACTGACTTAATTTCTTCCCATGAAGAAATTGCCTACACTGAGAAAGATTATGAAGTTACCCATTGCTTGTCAAGCAGGGAGGCGAGATTTCCTTGGCAGTAAAGTTGGCAAATCAAGGGACAGGAAACCTTTTCTTTACAGATAACCAGTTACACAGAACAAGATTCTGATGAGAGAGACTGTCTCAGATGATTAATGTAAGCATTTGTTAACATTCTTATTTGTGATTTACTTTGTCATGTTCCCAGCAAATATATCAAAATACTTTGAAAAACTTTAGCCATAAGCTAAACTGAACAGCTCATTTAATGGGTAAATAGTGGAACCGAAAATACTGCACAGAAGTTGAAATAAAGGATAGAGTGAGTCATTGAACATATTAGCCAGAAGGTCTGTTCACAATCCTTCCATTTTTAATTCCCAGAATCTTTATGCAGCATCACACATTACATAAAATTAGATGGGACAAAAGGGGCCTCATTTGTAAACCAGACTGACCAATAAAACCAGATGTGGAGATCAAGTCTTGGCTCATAAGTGTAAGAAGGTCTGAAAAAGAAAATAAACTTTCTAGTCAGATTCTCAAAAGATGATGCATCCTCCCTGTCCCTCTCCCCTGATGCACACATAATTTTAGGCAAAGGAACAGAAATTCTGATCCAAGTCTGGCAGGTTCTTTTATCACTAATCCATTGTGCAAAAGCCTGGCTTCTGATCCTCTGTACTCTCTGCCTGGAGAAGGAAGCTGCAGAAATGCCTGAGGAGGACCTGTAGTGAGTTTCTTTTCACTTTGTGCACATCCTGTCTCCAGGAGATCTGTTTCCAGCAGCTATATCCCAACCTATGGGACAATTCTAGTTGAACTTTCTTTTTCTAACTGAAGTTGTTATGAATCTAGATAAACAACACATGGATTCAAAGCTTCCTTTGGCTGGTGAACCTAAAATTTCAAGAGGCTGCAGTCTTGTCTTTAGCTCATCCCACAGTGGAATTATAAAGCATGAAGGGTACCACAAATTCTATAGGGCTGTATAAATAAAGTAGAGCTAAAAGCAGTGCATAGTCCCCTTCTGGAGCACCCCCACCAGATTTTCCTGAGAGAAAAACTAAACCCCAAGATTTCTGATGTGTACAAGGAGCAAAACCACAATGTCCTAACTCAAAGCTTTTCTATTACAGCTTAATTATTGTCAAAGAAAGCTGCACCCTTTGTGTTTGCTGGAGCACCTGCAGAATCACAGTCATTGCAGAGGTCGAAGGCAATATCCTTGGACTGCTGCAAAGTTAAGTGATGGAACACAGCACCAGCTGTGCTATGACTTGCTCTTTTGCATAAGCAACTACACCTCACCTGTATTTCTACAGCTCCGGAGAGTCTCTGTTCCCCATGGCCATCATTCCTCAGTGCACAATCAAGTTCAAGGTAGATGTGAAAATAAATGTCCAGTGGGCGCTCTATTCCAAGTTAGTTTGGATCCCTCACTTAAACCAGGAGACCTGAAGGATAATATTGCTACTGTACCAGCCATGCTACATCAGGAGCTGCTCAGGAAAAGAACTGCTCATCAATGGTTTTGTTTACTGTAGAAATTGAGAGCCAGCACACGCCACCATGGCACACCAGGGATAATTATGGATCTCAAGTTCTTCTGAACGAAGCACACAATTACACAGGCAGCATTTTCCTCCTAATTATACTTCTCTGGCACAGAGTGATTCTGCTCATAACTCAGAGGAGAGTAATTCAGGGTGGCAGATTTAATCTCATTTATCCTATTTGCTTTTGAAACTCTATCCTAACAAAATGGAAAGTTAAAAAGATTAACAAATAGGATCACACAACTTGCTAGGTGTCAGATAGACTTATGCATGATCAGCTGCTTTCCTCTGCTAAATTAGACAACAAATAATCCTTCCTGCTTTTTTGCTTGGTGCTTTGTAGCAAGACATGTTTGTGTCTTATAATTATAGTTCATCTAAAATTAAGTAATTGAATAGGACATTTTTCTTGAGTCCTGCTCTAAATTAAGATCTGGTGTTTTTCATTAAAACCTTACACATGCCTAGAGAGGCAGCAGGCCGTTGAGGATAGAGCCTGGAATTTCAAGAACCAGGTTTTAGTCTTGCCTCTGACATTGGCTTGCAGGGTGGCTGAAAGCCATCTGCTTCCCTCTTCCACACCAGTTAGACCTTTTGCAAATGAGACATGAACTACTGACAGACCATCTTCCCCACTGCAGGACGGAGAAGGGATCACCTCTGATTCTGCAAATCTCAAAGCATCTCGTTAGGGTCAGGCTGGTGGAGCTGGCGTTTACTTCCTTGGAGCTCAGCTCTGCGCATCCACTACCCACTCCTGAACTGGGCAGGGCTGAGGCACACTACTCCTGCTGGTGGGCTGTAGTGTGAGAATGTGTCTGTGATTTACCCAGCAAACAAGGCCAGTGGCTCACTTTATACTCTGCTTGGAGCACAATAAGTATGTGCTTACAGGGTGCCTCAAGTCCAGAGATGAGAAGCAGAACATGGAGAACGAGGCTACAACCCTTCTCTTTCTAACATAAAGACAGTGAAATCTGCTTGTGTAGTGCTCAGAGAAGATGTGGGAACCTCAGGAGTACAGACAGGCACCCAAACTTGGGATAGCTATCCACACCTAATAAGACGATCCCAAGGACTGCCTATTTGGCTGCTCAGCTGCATCTAATATGTGATCTGAGATTATCACACATCCTTCCCTCAGTCTCAAATAGATG